AATTCAGTTTCTCACAAGCCTCCTTGATCTAAGCAATTCCCCCAACACTTAATAGCACTCAGCAATAGCAATACCACTTACATTTCTATACAGCTTAATAATGCTTGATCTAAGCAATTCCCCCAACACTTAATAGCACTCAGCAATAGCAATAGCACTTACATTTCTATACAGCTTAATAATGCTAAGCACTTTCTAAGTGGTTTACAATGTGTTAGCCAATTGTCTCCAACAAGCTGGGTACTCATTTTACCAACCTACAAAAGGATGGAAGGTTGAGTCAACCTGGAGCCCTGCAGGATCAAACTCACGTTTTGGCTGCTATACTGGCACTTAACCATTGTGCCACCACGGCTTAAAGGAGACACTGATAATGTTGGTGGGGATTCCCCCCTAGTCTCCCCACCTTTTGGGATAATAGTTTGTAAGATGTGAGCAGAACTCTTAATGATAGGTGACTTGAAAGTCTCTCATTCATTGAGTCGCTGTAAGTTGAAGTCAATTTGATGATAGTTAACAACAACAAAGGGACAAAATTTGCCCTTCATACCATAAGACCACGTCATGCTCTGGATTTAAAAATAAAACACCTTTGGAAGAGCCCTAACACAGATCTAAGAATTTGCTGCAAAGCACACACACACACACCAGTGGAATGAATGGAAGAGAAACAGAAGGAGCTGCAGTCTGTAAAGACAGTAACAAATTCAAAGTGCATCTGAGGGCTGGATACATCAACATCTAACATCATCATCTACATCACCAAAATAAGATGTCTACAAATGAATTAAAATGCCATCTTGATGATGATGATGATGATGATGAGTATTTTGTAAGTCAGGAGAGTGTTTGAACACAGAACTGACAAAAAGTGACAAGAACCATCAAGAAGCAACATTAAAATTATGCCATATAAATTGGCACAAATCACCAGTCTGGCAGAGCCCCTATAGAGTTGTTTGATGAACTCAGTCATCTTTATTGACATACAGAGAATTGTTTCACAATAGATTCTTGAAATAGCTATATTGGAGACAGAAGAGGATACTTAACATTTTAATTTTTCAGCTGGGATGTTTAAATTATTCTATAAGTGAGCACTGGCTGGACTGAAGAGCACTATAACAATTCAGAATGTCCTGGGTACATGATTTCCTCCTGTCATCAGTTTCTCTGAATTGGAAATTGGGAGGGTCCTTGGTTGCCATGGAAATTCAATCTGGTTACCGTGTCTTGTGTTTCAGCAAGACAAGGAGGTCACTCAGGAGACATCAGTAAAACCTACCATAACGTCTCCAGGATTAATCAAGTAAATAAACCCTGGAACTCGTCTTTCCAGATTACTTTCCCTCTCTTGTTCCCTAAGTGCCAAAGTTGTAGTCCTGAGAATGGTCACATATGTTCTTGTAACTGATTGAAATCAATGGGACATAAATTGGCATAAATGAGCACAAGATTGCAGCTGTATGGCAAGCCTGATCTAAAGCTCTAGTTGATAGCTCCCTCATCCTGATGCTATAACAAACTGTTTAAGAAGTGTAGAGTAAATGTTAACATTCTCATACAGTATCTCAATGTCTCCCGATATGTGCAGAATATCTCAGGTTCTCTGTAGATCAAAATATAGTTCAGGGGTAGGCAACCTTTCCCCTTTAAGGGCCGAGGGACTTCAGCTCCCAGAATCCCAGGAGCTATTGGCCAACATGGGACTATTGGCCAACATGGCTGAGGCTTCTGGGAGCTGAAGTCCCTCGGCCCTTAAAGGGGTAAGGTTAATAGCCACATGCATGTCAGTTAAGATTAATAGTTAAACCCAGGGGTAGGCAACCTTTCCCCTTTAAGGGCCAAGGGACTTCAGCTCCCAGAAGCCTCAGCCATGTTGGCCAATAGTCCCATGTTGGCCAATAGCTCCTGGGATTCTGGGAGCTGAAGTCCCTCAGCCCTTAAAGGGGAAAGGTTGCCTACCCCTGGTTAAACCTTTAAGGTGATGCTGCTTAATAGATCCCTGTGCTTGTGGATTTGGCTGCATCATGACATGGACAATGATCCTGCTGATAGTGCTACAATGCATGACAGAAAGTTGCATATTTACATTGTTAACCCTGCTTTTGAAAAATAGGAAAATCTAGGCTGTGCTGAGAAATCAATCCGATAGGCTTTATAAGCAATTTAAATACACCATCATCCACATGAATGACTCTTAAAGTACATTAAAGATTAAGTCCAGCTTCGCCTCCCCCCTAAATATGTGTTGATTAAAATATACATATAGATTGGGAGTCTGTCAGGGTCTGTATTATTTGTTAACTATAATTTAATAGAATAGGCAGCACATACAACTATGCACTGCTCTATCATCATAGCTCACTAGTAAAACCAAAGCAGCTCCAATCAGACCCCAGAGCAAAGGAAAGGATGCTGAAATTTTGTCTCCTGCACAAATGTTATACCCTGCCTTCTGCTTCTATCCTGAAGAGCTATAGATTGCCTCTTAGCCAAGTATCTGATGGTGAGTTGAGACAAGTAAAATGACAACATCAGTCTTTTTGGATAAAAAACTTGTGTGCAGAGCATCCAGCTATCCCCAGTTGCTGTGGAAACAAGAGATGCCTGAAGGTGGCATGCCCCTGGGACAGCAGGAGGGCAACCTATGGCTCTGGAGCAGTGGTTCTTAACCCACCAGTTTCATATGCGCATTCACCGAACCCTTCTTACGATTCTTACGCATTCACCGAACCCTTCTACCGCCAATACAGACAGACCGTCAGCACCATCCGGTGAGGGGAGTGGGCCACCGCGCTGTCAATCACACCACACGGCCAATCAGAGGGCCACTTCTGTCAGTGGAGGCAGGGCAAGCTGGTTTGGTTGGATGGGGCATATAAATAGTGGGGCATATAAAATGTATACAAGTTATCACCTGCAGCCAATGATGGACAGGCGGGGCGTGTCATCACGAATCATATGAATCAGATGTGTGTCTTGACTTCCACCGAACCCATGAGACTGACTCACCGAACCCCTGGTGTTCGATTGAACCCAGGTTAAGAACCACTGCTCTGGAGGGAGCCACCAGGAGAGAAGAAATAAAAACAAAGGAAGCTTGAAACTGACCTGGAAAAGGAAGAAGTGAATGAAAGCTTTGGTTGCTGTGAATATAATTATTGGGCAAGGCAACTGCATCAAATGGGAATATGTTTTGTTCCCCACTGGGTGATCTTGGGCAAGTCACAAGCTCTCACCCTCAGGGGAAAACCAATGGCAAACCTCCTCTGAACAAATTTTGCCAAGAAACCCCCATAATAGAGTCACCTTAGGGTTTCCATAAGTCAGAAATGACTTGAAGGCACACAACAACATGTTAATGCAAGCATATGAAACATATCTGAAGGGGAGGAAGAGAATCCTATCTGGTCAGCATCTTATCTGCTTTAAAATAGTTGCCAGAGATGGTAAGAACAGAATACTGACATACTGACTGGGGAGTTCTGAGTGTTGTAGTAAAAAAAAAAGTAACTTTTTCATGGTCTGGCATAGTGGGATGTCTGGCTTCATTTATTGCTAAATATTAACCCATACTTTGAAACAAGATTGTATGCATTGAATTGGTTAAGAGTGTAAGAATATATTTGGATTTTTCTGGTAACATTCCGCCACTTGCAGTCTGATAGAAAGTTTTACTGAAGAGGACATGGGCCAACATCCTATAAACCACTAGTGTTGTGAAAATGTAAACTAGAGTAATTAGAACTGGATTCCATAGTTATGCGATCAGTTCTTCCATGGGCACCAAGGCCTCACTCTTTGTGAACTCATCAAATAGCTCCCCATCCGCCACATCGAAAGTGAGAGGAAAGATGGTTGTGGGTGTGTTTATGGAATGACTGGCCATACTAGGGACTGCATTTATGCAATTTCTGAGAAACTATT